CTTATAATTCCAAGGAGACGCGATGTACCATGAAGAAAAATACCTTGTGCCATAGTTCAAAGTGATTACTGTCCAAATGTCAGCCATCAATGGAAGAAATCCTTGCTTTTTAACAATAATTTATAATTTATGATTGCTTATCAGAGTTAAATTATACATTGAAAAAGTAAAAAATAAAATAAAATAAAAAGTAGCCCGATCAAGAATAATACCATGCATCAGTTTCCTAGACAGCCAAAGTAATCAAAGTCTCAGAAACAAAGGCACTGTGCCTCTGTCTTGGCCAGTTCCACAAAACAGATTGCCAGTAAGTAGTACACCGAGCAAAGGAAAATACTATATCTTTCTTTCACTCTACCTTTTTTTTACTGTAGGTCAGGAAGTGCAGAGTTGATTTTGGCTGAGTTGGGAGCCAAAAGACTTTCATTAATATATCAGACAGCGCTGCACTCGAGGCCTGTCTTTTATTGGTAATGCCAAAAGAAAAAAGTTGTTCTCCATCAGTGACATGTATTGTTTTTGAATGAACGCCAGACCCAGAGGAGCAAGAAAAGGCACAGAGTACATCCATCATTTAGGTGTGACACCCTATCATATGACAGCATGTTATAGCAGGCAAGAACATTTCCGAAGACCTCCGTAAGAGTGGACGGATGCTAACTTGACCCACTCTCCTCACACAGTAGAGTCCAACAGATGGTTTGTTTTAGAAGCTGAATTTATATCTATTTGTCAAGAGTGGAGAAGGAGAGATTTGGTTGCATTCCTTGTTTACGCAAGGAGACCGCCACTCCTGATCTGTTCCCTGTCACACAAAGAAAATTGACTACTGAGAAGCACGAATTTAGTCAAGACATTCAACAACAAGTCAATTCAGCATAAACAAGTAAGATTTACTCTAAATCTTTCTTGTCACTGTGTAAACTACATTGTTTTACAAAGAATTGTCTAGTTCAGATTTGTGTGGCTGCTTATCTCTCTTTTCCAATGAGTCTCCACCACTGAGAGCTTCAGAAAAGAGGTGAATTCAACTGGCCTGACCCAGCATTGACCCAAGCTCTTTCCAGAATCCTTACAGCCCATGCTATGAACCTCCTGCTGGGAAGCGGCCATTTGTGAACAAAGCCCTGTTCTCTGTTGGAGAGCTGTGTGCCATGCTCATAATCCAACCTTGAGAGATAAGGATAAAATCCTCCAGACCTCCCTAACAGCTCATCCCGCAGACCCTGTTGGCCATCTACCTGCATATCCTCCTGGTCTCTGCACATATATTGAAAACGCAAAAGCATGTCACGTTTCATGGCAGCATTACAAAACGCCATGAAGACCCAGGGGGGTGCATTAAGCAAGAACTCGGAAAAAAATTCTCTTTTAGTAAAAAAAAAACTTGAGCCATATCAAAAACACTGGCACAAAACATACTATACCAAATGCATCTACTAGACAACGTAAATAAGAACAAAGATAGATAGAAAAAAAGGGACAGATTTACTAAACACAATTCTGTAAGATGAAATGAAATTGTGAAAAAAAAACTTACAACTAAATATATATAAGTTTTAAAATGTAGAACTATATACATATAAAAATGTATGTGTGTGTTTTGGTAAGCCTTAAATTATAGGGACAACATATTTGGACATTTTTGGAAAACAGCTTACAGAATAAATTAATTCCCATTAAACATGGAAATTCAACGTGTGTGTGTGTGTGTGTGTGTGTAAAAAACTATTAAAAAATCTGATCCAAAAATACGGGTTAAGAAAATATTTCATTTGTAGAGTGAAACCTACATCCTATCCTACTATTATTTTTCCTGTCAGATTTTACTGTGACCAAGCGATAAACAATAACTCATGTACTTTACTACCAGACTTTGCAGTTTTGCTCATTTCTCTTCAAAATGATCTAAAATGGTTTCTTTCTGTATTTCCTTACATCTACTTCCTTCCCCATTCGGCGCTTTTCCCCAGTGACATTGAACCATATTTCCATGTCAACATCTTTTAAAACTGTAAAAAGGATCCCTTTTACTGAAGGACAAAGAGTAACTTTTGCCAAATATCTGGCAGCACTTTGATATTTTGAGTGAAGGGGAAAATAATCAACATAATAGTGAAAATGTGTTCAAATCAAACTGTATGATCCAAAAGGACAGGGTTGATTGTCTGGTTTTGCCACGGAGAGAAGCGGTTAGAATACTTTCCAAGTTTTCCCACTTTCTCTCTGCACTGGCTTAGCGAAAAGGGGTGTGTAACCACTTTATTTAAGAGGGCACACACCTCTGTGTGGACTTCACAACCCATCTGCCCGGCCTCACTCGTTCCCAACACCCACCGAACAGCCATCATGCCAAGAAATGAGCCAGCGTGAAAAGAAACTATGGCTATGTCTAACCCTTGTAGATCATTTCTGTCTACTATGGGACTGCAGTTCTGCTCAAACAAAAAATATTGCAATATAATAAAGTAGCCACCCTATTTCTTCCATTCATAATTGCCCAATGAAATGTTTAATCCAATTAAGCTCTAAAGACTCATCCAAACCCTAAACTTAACCCTAACTCTGACTTGATCATCATAAAATCTAATTTATAAAGGAAACTAACCCTAAATTGTAGACTATTAACCTCTTAAATCACCTGTATTCAGTCAAATTAACTTACCACTCCACTAAAGTGCTCAAAACTGATGAGGTGCATGACAAATTCACTGGGTACCACTCTTCTCCTGTGACAAATGAACTGTGGGCTCGAAACCAAGCGCTTTTAAGAGCTGTGCTCTTAATGTTCATGCCCTTTATCAACCCCTTCCTCTACCTCAGTGGTCAAACAGCACATTATTAATCTGGATGAAATGAAATCTAAGTCAAACTGGGAAATAACTCATGCTGCTTTAATAACTGCTAGATGGATGGTGGTAGCTCAGACAGAAACCTGAAGCCTTTTTCTTGACCACCAAAGACTATTTCAAATGCTTTCATTAAAGGTAATAAACTATCAAATTACACAGTTAATGTGATGTGTTGTTGGAGGCATCTCTTGTGGGATACAGTGGATACAGAAAGCACTTCTTAATGAAGAATGTATGAGATTTAAAGCAGATGCTAAATGAACATACATCTTCAACATGCATTCCTACAGCATATACTATGCCTTGACATTTTTATATTGCCCATCTCTATTGCATGCGAGTATAGTCGATATACTACAGTATGTATAGGCTGGATACATATTTTCATGTTATGGCCAATAACTGATAAATGTCCAATATACAAATTCTATATTGCTCTGTATAATAATAATTCATTATAAAAAATAAAAAAAAATAAAATCAGATGTTGATTCTACAAAAAAAGGAGAAACATAATAAGTCAATGCTTTTGTGTTCTCTCACTAATGTTTTGCGTTACACCAAGAAACTTCGCAAAACCTTTTGAGCTCTTTGCACAAGAATGCAAAGTTTTTTGGGGAAACAAAACGGTTTTGCAAGCAACGCAAAGTTTCTTGGATGGGGAAACGCAAAAAATTGGCGCGAGAACGCAAAAAAACAAAACAAAAAAAACCCTTATTTTTCCACCCATTCCATATTTTTTTTCCACCAGCATTCACTGTAAAAAAAAATCATGATATGTTATCATAATGCTTTTTCTTCTTTCAAATCAACTTAATGATAATTTATGTGGTTCAGATACCATAATATTTTTAGTTTCTGATTATTAAATCAATCTTCTTCATTGTATAAACTCAATTTTTCAATTTCAATGAACTTAAAGTTTTAAGGCAACCAGGTTACTTCATTTTTTTTAGTTAAACCAACAATATTTTTGTCCAGTGTAGGGGCTCCATGTGTTTCAAATGAATTTAGACATTATACGGTAATGTAGGCTACAGTATAAAAACAGATATTCATTTTTAGATTAGACTTTTTTAACAGTGATAATAAGTGTTTTTGTAAAGATTAACTTTTAAAATACTAACTTCAAATTTAAAGTCCGTGACACACCAAGTCGACATCAAAGAACTAGCGGCGACAAAGCCAACTGTGCTGTTGCCTCACGACGGCCGTGTCTCGGCCAAAAATGTCGTTCGAACACTCCGCAAAGACTTCAGGACAGTCTACAGTATATCAGCATGTATAAATAGTCTATATTCATCATTCAAAAAGGAAAACCGAAACACTCCAGACTGCAGATATACAAACCGTAAACAAAGCAGCACTTGCTTAGCAGAAAACACCTGAAAAACCAACCGATCTTACGACCAAGTCGTACGAATTCGACGAATGATTAAAAAGTGGCTAATTCGTAACAATTCATACGACCTCACTCGTACGAATTAATACGATTTTGCTAAATCGTACATATTTTACGAATTGGCCAATTCATATGAATTCGTACGAATGACCTACCCCTTACCCCGCCCCTAAACCTAACCATCACGTGGGTTTAGACAAATCGTACGAATTAGTACGAGTGAGGTTGTACGAATTAGTACGAATTAGCCACTTTTTAATCATGCGTCGAATTCGTACGAATTGGTCGTGAGATAGTGTTGGAAAAACTAGCCTGACAGACACTTGTTCAGCCCTAAGCCCTAAGTGAAGCATCAGTGAATAACATTTAGAACTTCACAATCACATCCTCAAGGAAATCTGTTTCATGGGATCTATTGACAAAAAAGGAAACCATTCAAACATATTCCAAGGCTAGAATGATCACAAAACAGTCAAATGAAAAAAGCAAAGATAGGACTGAGGCATCCAGGTCTGATGGGCTAATGATAATAGCACATGTTTTCAAACAACTGCAGCAGACACCAGAGCGTGACCATGGGTAACTTATAATCAGCTTTCCTGACTGTCAGTTAAGGTCAAATTCATCTTTCAATCACTAAGAACATGTCCAAGCTTATATATGGAGAAGACTGAAGAAAACGATGAAGAACATCTCTATCAATCATGAACAGGCTGCAGATTCATCAGGCACTGCAATACACTTACCAAACCTTTTGTAGCCAAAAGACTGCACCTCCTCTTCATCATTGAAGTCGTCTGCAAAAGTAACAAATGACAATAATATTAGTATTGCAAGTACTGTACATGCCTGGTAATCACATGATGTCTTAGTATAATATCTGACACTGAAATATAATATTACAATTATAGCTAGCTGGACTGTATACACATTATATCTACAAATAAATACATTGAAATTTAGTTTAGGTTTACATACACATACTGCCAATCAAACGTTTGTGGTCTTTAAGATTTTTTTAAAGATTTTTTTAAAGGACATAAAAACAGTAATATTGTGAATTATTATTACAATTTATAATTACTGGTTTCTAGTTTAATATTGAGAAATTATTTTAATATGCTGATTTGATGCTCAAGAATTTTCAACATTTTTTATTTTATTTTGTATTATCATGGTTGAAAACAGTTATGCATCATAATATTTTTTTGGGAAACAGCGATCCATTTTTCCCCAGGATTCTTTGATAAATAAAAAGAACAGCATTTATATGAAATCTAATTCTTTTTTTTAACATTGTAAATGCATTTAGTCACTTTTGACCAATGCAATACATCTTTTCAGAATTAAAGTATCTTTTAAATCGTCTTTCTTACCCCAAACCTTTGAATGGTAGTGTACAGTATATTATTTTAGTAAAATATTATACATCATGCACTATAAACTAAACACAACAAGCTCTAACATTTCATAACACCAATATATGACGGTATTCATTTTGCTTCTATAAACATTGTCAACATATCATGCTGAGATAAATAACATAAACAAATATATATTATTAGCTTTGGGAGTAATAAAAGGCATGTGGTCTGTATCTGATTCTTGCAATAACACTGGCCAGGATGGTCCATTCATGAGTTAACTAAATGATACCATCTTCTACTTCCTCTTCCTGTCCTGGAGCGCGGTTTGCCTTAGAGCGCTCTCTCATGTGGCTACCATGCTCATGGGAATGGAGAGGGGTGACTCCAGGCGGTTTTATGTGTCATTGTCCAAAGCCAGAGAAAATAAAGAAGGAACACATGTTTCTGTAGTTGGAGCCCACTCCCCCTCACTCTGATACTAAACCAGAGGAAGAACCGCAGGTGGGAGGGGGAACAGTCCGTCAAGAAACCCTACAGAGTGCGACCTCAGGTCCAAAAATCCAACTGGACAGATATACATAACCCATAGAAACCTCAGAGTGGAAAATTAGGGAACAAACGGGCTTGGGACAAAGAATCGAGGACTGATGCTGACAGCTATTTCAGTATTTTCGCTGAAAATAACAACACAACTCTGGGAAATGCACAGGAACAAAGCTCCCACACACCCAAAAAACAACATTTGTACAAAGCCACAGCCTGAAACATGACATTGCAAGAGAAATATTGCTTGAAATAAAACCTTTAAAGTTAAAAATGTTATGCATGGAGAAGAATCACAGAAGACCGCAGATGACCCTTACTCAGAGGAACAGCATTTCACTGTGTGTGGTCTGAACACCCTTATTAGGTTATTTCCATGTGTGCCTTTTGCTCCTGTTTACTAATCATTATATGGCAATGCCTTGAATTGATTCATGGTAAATAAACATTTATCTAACCAAAAGATGAACCAAAAACAGCTACAGTATCTCATTTGTTTGAAGTCTGGCCAAAATCCACTTTATACAAATACATTGGTCAATGGAAAATACAACTTCCTGCTTTTAGATACAAATCCAGAAGTGATTTGTTTGGGAATTGAACTGCGAATTGTAGTTGAAGCAATATTCAGTAAATGAATCAATGCCTAATTGTTTTCAATTCAGTGTGAATTCAAACAAAAGTTATGCTGAGATTTGAAATGTCCACTAGATGGCAGCATTCTGATTGAAAATTAGAAGAACAGTGAAATGTTGCATAACTCATATGGCAAAAAAATGTAATGTGAAGGCTTGTTGTTTGTCAGAACATCTGGCTGGCCATTGGACATTCAAAAAGACTCAGGATGGGGAGATGTGGGGGTTGTTTTTACTGAAAGTGACTATATGAGTCACACGTTTAATTCTGCTGTGCAATCACGATGGGGAAACATCTTGGCTCTTAGAAGAGCATGCAATTTTCAACAACCTCGGAAAATACAGAGGACCTTTTCATTTTTAATTATATAATTCTGACATCATTTTCCTCAGCTCAATTTACCTTAGAATTAAGAGCACATACCACTTTTAAAGTTGCACTCAGAACATTTTTGTTGTTGTTAATCATCCCAATATTAGTGTTGTTGAAGTTTATACTTAGACTAGCCAGGGATGAAACATTAGTTGCTGCAGCTTATTAATAATGAAGCTGTTTGTTTACCTTTTGGGCTGTTTTTGCCTTCTCATTTTTTTTTTTTTTAAATAATTGTAAATATTGCACTTTTCTACACATGATTAAAGTATAGCTATATGAAGTCAACACAATTGACTAACTCAGCTATCATGTGATCTCAACATGGCTGCATCCATGAGGGTGGACCTACTTTATGCAGAATCAAAAGCTGTTTTTAGAAGACTGGTATGGAATCTGATCTTATGCCAGTGTACATTGTTTTAATATTAACATAATATTAACTAACATTCTAGATATTTTAACATAATATTAACTAACATTCTAGATATGTTTAGCAAAAGTGCTGTTTATTTATTTGTATAAAACTTTCAATTGCATAAAAAAAATACTAAGTGCACTTTTAATAATAATAATAAAAACAGCAAATCCCAACTCAACATTGGAAACTCAATACTAACACTTTTAAAGTCTCTCAAGTTTAACAGAATATTTTTCAGAAACGAGAATTCACTCATTCTTGAATCTTCAACCCTTGGAGGAACGTCTTCACACCACGCCAGATGTTTCATTTGTAACGTGGCCACGCGTTTTCCTTTTTTTTTTTTTAAGATAAAGGAAACAGTGTCACTGAACATCCCACACAAAAGCCGGTCAGCAACACAAGGTTGTGTATATCCTGGTATTCAGCTGTCTTATGGCAGTTCAGCCAAACAATCCGCCAACCTTAGACACCACGAGCAGTTAATCGCAACCAGATGTTTCATGCTCTGGACTAACTCACATTCCTCTCACAATAGAAAGAAAAGCAGAAAAACTGAAGAGCGAAACGCGTGGATAAACTCAAGAGACTTGCTTTAAAAGACACAGCACTAAAAATGTGTAAGAAGAGGGTAATTTGAAATGCATCTTACCCTTCATTGTGGTAAAACTGTGGTACACCGTTCGAGCCAAACGTTCACATCAATCTCATGACAATAGCGCAGACTCAAGAATAGCGCTCGCGCACTTCCACGCTGAAGTTTCACAGATGTGAATATTCCACCTGAAACATGCGCAGTATCTTTTTCACCCCCTCAATCCCAGGGATTGACGCTAAACTGGAAAAAAGTAAGAAACAAAAGGATGTTCAATAAGTCGTAGCAAACTGTTGCTTAGGACGCAAACTTTTCCCCTCTCTCCATGAGAACGTGTTCACGATGGAAATTCACTTGAGGTGAGTGAGGACTGGGGAGGATGCCTCCTCTTCTGCTTGTTGACTGCAACCTGAGAAGAGAGAAGTTGGGAGTCCGTATAGGGTGTTTGTTAGTCCGCTTGTTTTCTAAATGAACTTATTCTCCTAAAGGAAAAGCAGGTAAAAAGCAGCAGCAGCCTCCTTAACACTACAGCTCTGAATATGCTGCATCGCATCTGGAGTTAAACTTCCTCTGGCACATGGGAGGGTCTTATACACGTAGTTAGTTATTGTTGGGTTTAGAGTAGGCTACTGCGAAATCTTAACCTGTAATAAGAAAACAGTATAGAAAACATATAGGCCACATCTTAAACTTCTATGTTGGCTTATTAGTGTTTAAGCTCAACATTTTAAAGATCCTAATTTTTAACTGTTATGATGGCTTAAAATGGGTTAAAACTGTGTATGAAGTTTAAGCATCGAGGAGGCCCAACTTTGTCACACAATAAAGTTATATATCTGTAATTTTAAGGTTTGAGCCAGGGTTAGGGTTTTGTGTGTTATAATTCTTTGACTTTAAATTTAGCCTGAAAAGCTTATGATAGGCATGTTTAAAGGGGTAATGAACTGGCTTTTTATTATATTGTCTGAGGTCAACTTATGACATTTGCTTGGTTTTTGCATTCAAAAACATCAAAATGAATAAGTAATAGGCTATTTTCTACGCCTAGCTGAAAAACACTCAGTTTTTATGGGCGTCTCGCACTGAAGATTTGGAAGTAAACGCCCACTGCTGTGAGTGGATAACAGTTTTGTATATTATGAGTTTCAACTCACCCATCGATGCACTTGGGGGAAATTGTTTTGAAAACGTCCAATGTTGTAAAATGGCAACTGGAATGATTCGCCCATACATGTTCGACCCAGAGTCCGTGTGTTGCACAATTCTTGTCAGATCCAATATAGACGGCACAGCACTGTTACTTTTAATCGGCCTGCAAATACAGTCTTGTTTACAAATCAATCCTCGGTGAAATGAAGCGAACAGACGGACAATGTTTTACCTCATCAGTTGGAACGTCAATAAAAATAACGTTTATCCATGCAGTCCTATTGGAATCCAGAGGAAGCATATGCAGCGACTGTCTTCTTCCACAACCAGGCACTGCACAATATTTTGTATCGTTTGGTAGCTCGATCCGGTTTGTCAGCACAAGGTAGTCGTCTATGTTATTTAGCTATGAAAATATTATCCATTACAAAAGATCAAGATGCAAATGTAATGCATTAAAACACATGACTAACACCAAATAATTATGTGTTTAATGACAATAACATTAGCATAATAATATAGATCTATAGCTAAATGCTTCATAAAGAAAGTGTTACTGAATCTTTTTTTTTTTTTCCCCCATTATGGCGTGTGCTTTTTTTTTTTCAAAAGAAATGGCTCTGAATCCCAGGACTGCCAAGTGTAAAGTCGTGACTGTTGCTCAAAATTGCTTGCACTATTGTTCCGCTCCCTTCGGGTTTAATAAGCACACAGCTCATTTTGTTCTTTCTTTGCATTTCTCTCTAAATCCCTTTGCCACAGGGATCCGTGATTAATTATTTGACATCCCGCTGGATTGTTCAGAATCGTGTGATCTGTTGCACCACACAAGTCTAGCACAGCACTGGCCTGAAATGTTTTTCCAACTTAACAAGGCTAAGCATTAATGTAAAAAAAACAACAACTCTACCGTATTAAAGTTGCTCTGGTGGGCTCTAAACCGACTTTATTTGCCCTCTTAATTATCTGGAAGCATTTGTGTCAGAGCAGGTGGCTTATCCATTTTTATTTACAGTAGAAATAAACATACTATCAAACTTATTAAACTTTACCATGGTAAACAAAGTTTTGGCCAAGATACCGTAGTTGCTACAGTTATAGAAATGAAACAAAATGACTCTGAAAGCTTCTTGCAGTATTTGAAGGACATCCAATAGTAATATGGTTTTAGTAGAAAAAAAATTGTACATTTTCATTTTCAAGGTGACTGTATCATTTTATACTAAACCAATGTTTTCTTCTCATGTTCTGCTGTTATATGTATTCCGAGGTTCCAGTAAATCACCCTCAGTCTGCCAGCCACCAGGTCTTTGGCAGTAGATGAGCGCGACAGGTCCAGATAGGGTTATGAGAAACAGGTGTGTTTAGGCTTAGCCAAGATGGACATACCAGTGGCCCATATTGCTGTTTCTCATTAGAGGTTAGAAAATACTATTTTCAGGGTCACAAGCCCTGAAGAGAGGGGCACTTTTACAAGGACATGGTGCGCTAATGAGAAATGTGAGGGGAATGTGGGTCTACCACATCTTTGTTGCCAATTTATGCTTTAAGGTTGACAAGGTTTAAAAAAAAAAAAAAAAAAAAAACTTGTAATAGATGCAAAACTATTTAGACTTTGTCAAAGTTATCATAACAAAATAAGAACAAAATAAAATGTATCCTATAAAACAATTAGCATACACGACCACTTTTGTTTTAAAAATACACATTTTATTTCACAATGTTATATAATATTGAACAATGTTACTAGTTTACTTTATTGTTTTACATATATATATATATATACATATGACATTTATTATTATATAACTATCACGCATGGCTGATTTGGCTGGATTACATGTTGGACGGCCATAACCTTTAAATTCTTTAATTGGATTGTCTCTTTGTTCTACTTATAAATAGAAGTGTCCAGGTAAAGATAAACAACACACCTTCCCTGTTCACAGGCAACAGCATCAATCACATTGCATAGTCAGACATCAGTAGGATTTTTCTGGTGAGTTCCTCTCCTATGATCTTTACAATGTTAGATAGCTCTGTTTATGTATTTCCCATAATGTGTGAAATATGAGCATGGTTTATTTATATTAATTTTATTATAATACTTTCATACTTTAAGTTTCTGAGATGTTTAATTGGTGAGAATTATATAATCAAAACTATATTTCACTGTGGACAGAAATTAAATATGACAAACATAATTTGCCATGTTGATATATTGATGATCTAACGATGATTAAAGATGAACATAAGCAATTAGGCATGAACATTTAGATAATTTTAGTATGTCAGAATAGCGCTAATTTTATATATCCAAAGTTAGCGGATTGTACCTTTACTTGTTTATTAGTTAAGCAGTGATTTATGGATTTAAAAGCACATCCTATTTTTGACTAATGCACACTATTGTGTAACATCCTGCTGATCAAACTGAGGCGCAAATCATGGCAGAAAATTATGTACTGATTATTTTACCAGCACTCAGACATATGCCATAGAATGTAAAAGTTTAACAACGTTAGCTTTTGACCTCAACTTGCCAAATATGTTGGCTCTGTTGTGTTCATTTAAAACAACAGATGGTCATGAAGTAAAGCTGGTGAACTTGTGAACCTCTGGTGTTTTTCAACATGTTTCTTGAATATTAAACTATTTTTTTTTCATTTTTTTTTTCTGGATTACCTTTATGGATTATTTATAGTGTGAGAAGAATCAGTAGATAATGCTTTGCCTTCAATAACACCCCTCAGATATATATTTCTATTATTCTATTCGGTTTATAGTCACAAGACTTGTTTGGCTCTATATAAAGTCATAGCACATTCTATTTTAAACTGCCTTAGGCTATTACACTTTGGCCTCGATCCTTAATCAAAGAAAGAAGCTTCTAAAGACCAGTTGGCTCTCTTGAAGTGGAAAACATAGATTAGATATAAAGATATACAAAAACTGACCGCATAGACTAAAGAATGACACAGATTGACTATAGTTACAGAGATAAATTACCTAAAGGTCATAAAACAATGAATTTCATCCGAACGGTTTTCTCATAAGGTGTAGCACCACACAGTGGTCCTTATGGGTATTTTTGGATTTGATGCGCATCTTGGCGTTTCCATCCAGTGTTTTATAACACGATGGGCGGGCCCATCTCAAAATTGAATTCGCATAAAAATAGGTGGATCCCAACTAACAATCTTTGGTAGGCTACGTTATTTTTTAAAGTTTGTTTTTGGTTGGCCAGAAAAGTTTTTACATTTCTTTAGCCTCAAATAACGTCTTCAACACAATGTTTTTTTTTTTTCAAATCTGAAATTTATTGAGTGACATTAAACGAATAAACAATTATTTGACTTTAAGTAGGATATATGTAGGTAGCCTACTTCTTACCACTTCTTATAGTTGGACGTGCTTATTTTGGTCCGTAGCCTAAACAAAGACTTCTCAATCAACATCATGTTCTCTTCAATAAAATTCAAGTCAAATCTATCCGAAATCATATTTACTCTAACATCTATTATATCAATATAATATATAAGTAGTCCTAATTATGATAAACAAATATTCAATCAGCCAGTAGCTAAAATTAAAAACGCGAGTGCGCGGTTTTCTGTGATAGATAGCCGAGGTGAAAGCGCGTGCTGGAGAAGCGCGTGCAGAGCGAGGCGCGCAGTAAAATGAAAATAAAAACAAAGCCATTAATGCATATTATCATTACAGTGCTTTTCACACTAACCTTGGCTTGATATTTTAGTTATAAAGTTTGATTAAAGTTGATTTATCACGTTTTAGCTATAAATAGCCCACAAAATAACCATTCGCCTATAGAACGTTCTGGATTTAGTAGCCTAATTTTTAGGTTAGGCCTATTTAAAAATATCCTCCCTGCAAAGATCTGGGAACGTTACTTTATGGTTGCAAAAAATAAAAATGTAGGCCTACTAAAAAGAGCATCATTCGGAAAATTAAATAATTATTTGTTATTTACAGGTATTTTAATTTTTCCCTTTGAGCCTGTCAACGTTGCTGAAGATGAGGGTGTTGATGGTTTTACTGGCGTCCCTTGGGGCCTTTCATTGTGTCCCTAGTACCACCCTTCCTCCGATATCAGCCAACACTCTCAAACGTGAGTATTGCTAAAGAGATTCATATACACAAATGAATAATACATTAAATCCAGGGAACAATCATATGACATCTAAATGCCCTGACATATGATGGTCTTTTAGGCCTGTCTCTGGAAGGGGAGAAGCTAGTGGATCAGGAGGTCAGCAAGGCACTATATGGAATCAAAGAAATGAAGGAGGTGATGGCCAGTAATCAAGAGAAACATGCAAACCTCATGAAGTCTCTCATGCACAGTGGGGAGAAGAAAAAAGTCAGTGAACAATCTTTTTTTAAGAAAATAAAATAAATAATAAAAAAAGTAAACATAATATTAAATACCTTCTTACACCATCAGGGGGCAGCAGAGATTGCACAGAATGTAGAAAAGAAGCTGAATGAAGCCGAGCAGCAGTGCAAAGAATCTCTAAAGTCCTCCTGGGAGGAATGTCGACCTTGTCTTGAGGACACTTGTAAAAACTTCTATACGAACACCTGCCGCCGTGGATTCTCCACCTTCACCAGTAAGGTACAGCATTCGTGTCCACCTTTACCATTCTAATGCCCCTGAGAGAGATGGTTAGGTTAACTACTGAGTAGAAATACACGGTAACACCTTATTTTACGGTGTCTTTGTTACACGTTACATGTGCTTGCTATAGTAGTAACAGTAGGTAAATAACAATTACATGTAGCTAACCTTAAACCAGACCCTAACCCCATAGAACATAGTTAATTATTACATGATAAATTATAATGCTTAGTTACACAAAACACACAAAAGTGTATCCAAATACACCATATTTATCTGTGCTTGATTCTCGCTACATCCAATCCATCTACTGGTACAATGACCTGAAAAAACTTTTTGAAATTCATATTTCACATGCTTATTATTTATTGATCATAATTAAAAATATGTATAAATTATTTAACATTAATTTCACATTTAATTAAAACGATATATTTTTTTTAAATAAATCAAAGTAGCAAAACAGTAGTGGAAGACAATGAAATCAACTTCAGTATGACTGTTTTTCTGTTTTCCACAGCTACACAACTTCTTCCAAAGACTGAGCTCTCGCTTTGGCCCTCGTGATGCTCAGGATGAGGTAGCGTTGAATCAGAGCGCAGAGAACCCTGACCTGGAGGTGGTGAGAATCGAGGACTCCTTCAGCAACCTCCTCACTAAAGTGGGAACCCTGGTCAATCGTAGTGCAGTGCTGGTCTCCCACTTTCACCATGAGCTGGACCAGGCCCTACGCAGAGCCTTCAGTCCTGAGCGGGAAGACAAAGAGAGTGAGCTGGCTCTCAGGCCTGCCAAGAAAGCTCTGGATTCTGCCTTTCTGGAGGGTGAGGGCCTGGACGATGTGCTGGAGTCCTTCTTTGACTTTGGGAGAAATGTGTTGGAGGAGTTTGGGGCCGTAATCACACGAGCCTTCAGTAGCATTCATGATGCTGTGGAGAAGACAGCGAAGGAGGAAGGTGCTTGAATCTGATATATTTGGGATAGACCAGTCAACCAGAATTCTGTATTTTCAACACACAAGTTTATGTAAAAAACAGAACATTTATGTCCGTTGGTGTGAACAGGCCTTAACTCTCTCTAATTGTGTCTATATTTACCCCAGAGAAGAAACTCTTCCCTCAGTTTCTGCAGAACAGGAGACTGTGCAGAGATCTGCGCAGACAGTCCTCAGAGTGCTGGCAGCTGCAGAGCAAGTGTGAGGCCTGTCAGGGAACCTTGTTTACTGGTAAGAGCACATGCTCACATCAATTAGTCAAATGAATAGTTCTCCATATAGAAATACATGTAACTGGTGTCCCAGCTCTTTAGAAGGGTGAGGAATAGACCATTATTCACTGAAAATCTTACTAATAGGAGTTGATATTGAGAACTATGGCAAACCGTATTAGCTTTTAATGTTCCCAGCGTTGCATTTTTACTAGTAACAATTATGATTAGAGAGCTCTACAAATACATTTTATGTCTCCATTGACTTACATTTATTTTTAATCACACAAGCTCAACAAATTTTTGCACACAATAACATTGTTTATTATAAGTACGTGCTGCAGTTCCTTTGTGCAATATTGTTCCTCTTTGCTATTATTATTATTATTGTGGTGTGGCCAAACCCATCTTTTTCGTTCTAGTTATCTTTGGTGTGAAATGAGCTTAAATGATGACAGATTTTTCATTTTTGCTTGAACTGTCCCATAAACCCTTACCTGTCATGTTGATGTGCCAGAATGCCCAAATGTAAGAGAGCTGCACGTCGAGTTGGATGAGGTCTCTCAGCTGTTGGAGGCGTCAAAGCAGGAGTATGAGGAGGTGCTGGAAATCGTGCAACATCACACTATAGACACCATCAGCTGGCTCAGCAACATGGCCTCCGACTTTGGTTGGGTGACTGAACTCGCCAATAACAACACCACTCCCGAGAGCATCTTCAGCATTGCCACGGTGAGACACGAACAAAAAAAGTAGCATGGTATTGCCATTGATTTTAAGGCAAAGGGATATGGAAATGGTACAACCCCCAAAAAAATCAGAAAAGGTTGGGAAATTTTGTAATATGCAAGAAAATCAAGAATCTGTGACTAAAGTACAAAGAAAAAATGTCCAATGTTTCCACTGACCAGCAAGTATTTTGTAAATATGAACAAATTTTGATTTTGATGGCTGCAACACACCCCAAAAAAGAAGTTGGAACCTTTCAGCTAAGAACAGGAAACTGAGGCTACAATTTGCACAAGCTCATCGAAATTGGACAATAGAAGATTGGAAAAACGTTGCCTGGTCTGATGAGTCTCGATTTCTGCTGCGACATTCGGATGGTAGGGTCAGAATTTGGCGTCTACAACATGAAAGCATGGATCCATCCTGCCTTGTATCAACGGTTCAGGCTGGTGGTGGTGGTGTCATGGTGTGGGGAATATTTTCTTGGCACTCTTTGGGCCCCTTGGTACCAATTGAGCATCGTTGCAACGCCACAGCCTACCTGAGTATTGTTGCTGACCATGTCCATCCCTTTTTGACCACAATGTACCCAACTTCTGATGGCTACTTTCAGCAGGATAATGCGCCATGTCATAAAGCTGGAATCATCTCAGACTGGTTTCTTGAACATGACAATGAGTTCGCTGTACTCAAATGGCCTCCACAGTCACCAGATCTCAATCCAATAGAGCATCTTTGGGATGTGGTGGAACGGGAGATTCGCATCATGGATGTGCAGCCGACAAATCTGCGGCAACTGTGTGATGCCATCATGTCAATATGGACCAAACTCCCTGAGGAATGCTTCCAGCACCTTGTTGAATCTATGCCATGAAGAATTGAGGCAGTTCTGAAGGCAAAAGGGGGTCCAACCCATTACTAGCATGGGGTACCTAATAAAGTGGCCGGTGAGTGTATGTCTCCATGTCAATGGTACCTTCACAATAATGCAAGTTACCCATACCGTTTACAATGATGCACCTCAATACCGTCCAGGACAGATGTTTGCTTTTGCACCTGTCGCTGGTGAAAGTCTGGTTGGTCCCAAAAATGTTCTCCAAAAACAAGCTCACGTATGGATTCTGACCACAGCAGACATTTCCACTTTCTTCTAGACCATCTGAGATGAGCTCAGGCCAGAGATCCACATAGAACTGATGTAAAGCTTTCTCCTTGCGTAACAGAGATTCAAGTGGCATTTCTTGATGCAGTGTCAGACTGTGTTCGGTGAAAATGGTTTTCCAAATTATTCCTGAGCACAAGCTGTATTTGACAGAATAGCATGATTGTATCTTGTTTAATGCCATCTGAGGACTCTCAACAGAGGCACATTCAACAGAGGTCTACTGCCTTACCCAACACAGACTGAGATTTCTCTGGATTCCCTGAATCTTTTGACAAAATTATGTATGGAAGATGATGAAAGGCATAAATGCTTTGCAATCTTGCATTGAGAAATGTGAATTTTTAATTGTTTGACAATTCTCTCAAGATATTTGGCACAAAGTGACGAGCCATGACCCATCGTTGCTTAAAAAGAACGAGAAGCACTTTTACAACTTTTACCAATTCACCTGCTCATTGTGGACAGTTTCAAAATAGTTGGATAATCTAATTTGGATAATCGTTTCACTTTTATTTGGTCTCTGTCCCAACTTTGTTTGGGGTGTGTTGCATCAAAATCAAAATCTGTTCATATTTACAAAATACAATTATGTTGGTCAGTGAAAACATTGGAAAACGTTCCATTGTACTTTTGTTAGCTAATAAAAGGTTAAATAGAATGAACAAATCACAGATTCTTTCAGATTCGGGGTTGTATTTTGGACATGTAGCACAAGGTAATTATTCAGTAGGTGAGAAAAACAGAGTAGTGGTAGATTTACCCAAGAAAATAGGTTAAAAAAGTCAGATACTAAATCTGTTGACCCCAAATAACAAGGTGGTGGCACAGACGGAGGAGAGCAGCAACACTCCAGCAGCAGTCACTACAGTGGAAGTGAATATTCTAAACTCCCCCACTCTCACCCTGACTGTCCCTGCGGGTCTCCGGCTACAGGATCCTGCCTTCATCCAGTATGTGGCGCAGGAGGCACTGGGCGCTTACAAGCAGATGGCCAGGTCAGACACTTTACAATTAAACAATGTCAGAATGCTTCACTCATCAGCACATATTTCACAGGGACAGGTTAATATCTCATAAAGAGGATACTCCTCAGTTCAATCACATAAATCAGTTCTCAACCAGGGGGTGACGGGATGATTTAAGAGTATTTCAAAAATAAAAAAGAATTAACCTTTTAAAGTCTTCCGTATCATATTTGATACATGAATCTGCTCAGTCCTCTAAATTGTCAACAGGAACCAAAACCATACTTTACAAAAACCTCTACATGTCTTCTGCACTCAAATTGATCATTCATAGTTTTTTTAGCAGGTAAAAAAAAAAACAAAAAAACAGGCTTTTGATGGATGATTATTTGTTTTCTCAATCATCATTATACTGTATTGCATTATATGTTTGCTTCACAAAATTTACAACTACATAGCTTTGATAATAAAACTAAGCATTTAAATATAATCTTAGTAAGACATATTATTGAGAAACAGAGTGTGAAGTGATATTTATATTACAAGCTATTATAATTTTATCTTATTTTTTGCTATACAAATGGTATTTGCTATATACCAAATTGCATTTTTTGCTTTGTTTGGGCTCCGGAATAAAATTAAGGTGTGAAAGCCCTCCCTATATCATACTATATCACTCAAGTGCAAACTTTGCTTTCCTTTTATATTTTGTTATACATGTCCTTAAATTTCAATAAATTCAGCAGAGAGGAACGATATCATTGGAGCACTTTTTTTCCAGCCGATGAACGATAAAACATTGACTGTCCATCCTGCTTAAAAGAGCTCAAGGCATTTTTAATCGACAGATGACAAACTGCAGCGCACACCAAGAATAATCAGAACGATATCGTAGCTGGGGTGGACTGGACTCTATATACAGTAGGCTAGTAATCATTCTTGGTGTGAACGGGCCTGCCTTTAATGCTCACATAGGACTCGGCTCTAACAATGTATTTTTCTCTTTTTCTTTTAGGCATGAGGATGTGTAACTCAAACTACAAGTCATCAGTTTTCATCCAAGTATTAACCAGGGTATACTATATATTGTGTTAACGTGTATTGTATGCATTGGGCTTAGTTCAAAAGTATTGTAATTTATTTATGGGGTGTTGTGACAGGTTCTAAATAGCTGCAGTTGAATCTTGTCTTGTGTTAATGGACTTAAACATCACTATGTCTGAAATGTAATTATACCATCACTGTTTAAAATAATCATTTACTTTTAGCGCGACACTATTTGCCTAGTTACTTGCATCAGTAGGCCTATGTGTGTTCACTTTAAAATACTATAAACATTTAATTCAATTATCAGGAGTGTTTCTATGCAATCCTTCTAGTATTATAATGTAGGCTACTACAAAAGTCACAAATTACCTTTTTTCCTCTCATGTAGAAAAGGGCTTCCATGTTTCCGTTCAGTCCCAGTTCAAATCTCATCCATCTAAAAATGATAAAAAAATTTCACAAATGTCTGAGCAAAAATCCTGATTTGCAAATAACCCACATACACTTAAAATCATTACGTAAAACTTTATTTTTTACTGTACAAATTCTTCAGATTAGTAATCGTAACCATTTTCACAACAATGTCATTAAAACTCTGCAGCGGAGACCATCACCTCATATCAGAGTACTTTCACTTTTTTGACACAAAGAACAAAATTCGATAAAAGAGTTTTGCTCAAACTTGCCTGTAGCCCTTGTAAAACAGGAGGCGATGATGGGAAAGATGTTTAGGGGATGTCCAGGACAAAATAAAAAAAGTCCCTAAGACAAAGGGCTCACATACAGGAAGGACGAAAGCAAGGCCTCTCTCTCTACATATGAAAAGCTACACGACAAAGGGGAGAAGAAATCAACAAATTAACCCTCCAAAAGATATATCCGTCTGATTCATCCCAAGTGCATTCAATTCCTTGTCATGGGTGAAATGAACCCGTTACAGAAAATGCATGACCAAACTCCAACATTAAGCAAAAACTGATGTCTATTTTACCCTCTCCATTAGACTTGTACCATTTTTACTTTTAGTGATTTCATCAAACTTTGGTTGGTAAACGCTCTTAATCTGTAGTACCTGAATATTTCACAGTGATCGAAGCTTAAACAGGAAATGCAACGACGACTCCCCCAGCAGCAAACATGGTAACATTGTGGTGAACGAGTTAAAGGCTTTATGCAATTCCGATTCCTGTTCAAGAAACTTGCAAAAGAGTCAAAAACCAATAGATCTGTCTGAAATAATTTTTTGAGCAAATTCACATTCGTATGTCAGAATGAAGAAAGAATGTCAAGGCTCTCTTGAAATATACTGAAATATTTGTGTATGAAATAAACTGTGGAAGATCTATAAATCTCTCTGGTTCATTTATTGGAGTGTACATGAGAGAACAATGAATTTGTACCAAAAGGTTGGCAACACTACAAATGTGTTGGCACATAAACACTAACCTGGCAGTGTCGGTGCTGATGCGTGTAAAAAAAAGAAACTCAGGGATTGCTATTGTGATATTAAGACTTGTCGGGTCTCAAAAGCAGCGTGAGGAATGATGTTTGGACTGCTCAGGTCTAGTGTTTTGATGATAAAATATTTCTCTCCTAAATTACGGTTGAATAATTCAAGATAAAATATTTATAATGACTTTTTGCTCGAAAATTAGCAGCTGGCTGAAGTGGCGATTGGTCGTCAGAAATGTATTTGTGCAGGCTTTTCAAAATGAATCATCTCCCAGGATATGAATTCAAGCTCTCGTAAAGATTGAAACTGACATTAAGAGACATACAAAAAAAAAAACATGATCTGCTATAAAAGTGTTTTAGTGAAAGAATCTGCCCCTGTAATCGATCGTTCGCAAACTTAAGCTCTCATACATTCAGAACGGCTAATGCCCTCATGTGTCTCTCTCTCTCTCTCTTTGTCTTTCTCTAACTTCCACAGTCCCGTCCCAGCAATTAGGTTCAACCAATTCAACCACAGTTATTGGTCACTTTTGATAAACTACTCAAACTACTAAAAAACTAAAAAGGGAAAAAGACAAAATGAACACCGTTAAAATAAGAAAGACCGATTTTACAATAGGATTTAGTGTTCAGGTGAAAAGAATACAGACAAATAGATAAAAAAATAAAGAAAAAAGCTGATTTTGTGCAACTGTGAACCAGCCATCAGCACTAAGCTCATCGCTTTTTTTCCCCACAACTCCCTCCGTCTGTAATGCAGGGTTATCAGCCCAGCAGAGTTCTGGGAGAATGACGTGGTCCTGCTTCAAACCCCCTCGTACACACGTCGCCCTCATCAACTCCACCACACACACATCCTCAGGCAAAAGTCATGCTGTGAAAGATGCGTTTTATCTGCTAATAGAGTTTTTACACTTGATTCTTGAGTGGGAAAAGAAACAAAAACAACCACAAATCTCAGTAAGGACAAGTGTGCAGGGGAGCTGTTGGGAGGAAGTGCCACAATGGGTTTGAGAACCGTCCTGGTGGCTAATTAGCACGTGGTGGTGAGTCTCTGGGTCCCGTAGAGGGTCTCTACAGGTTGTCTCCGGGCTGGTACTGTGGCTCAGTGGCGGTGAAGTAGTCTTCCAGGAAGGACTGGATGTACTCGAAGGTGGGCCGCTCATCTGGCTCTTTCTTCCAACAGAGCCGCATCATTTCGTGTAGCGACTCCGGGCAGCCCTGAGGACACGGCATCCTGTAGCCCCGCTCGACCTGCTCCAACACTTCTCGGTTCACCATGCCTGAAAAACATACAGAGTGAGTTTGTCCAACCGCCCACTGTTCAGCATCCAGACTGCCTCAGACAGGATATGAGGGGTGTGTAATTACTGCAGACACTTCGCTTGGAACCCACAGAGGACAGGAGTGTTGAGGACAGAGGGGACAGACAGTCTGGTGCTGCGTAAGAGATTGGAGATTGCCTGTGTTCAAGAGCTCTCTCACGGGAAAGAGACTTTTCCAGGGCCGCATATGTAGATTCTTTATGTATGCGAGAGACATCGAGTGACCTTTCAGAGCTCAGCCCATTTTCATTTACACTAGCTTACATAATGACTCGCACAACAATAAGGCTTACGCATGCAAACTCAAATCAATACGTCTTATATTAAGTGGAGAGTTAAAAAGCTGCTAGATTTCCTGAAATGCTTAAGACTATTAAGGTTGTCATGTTACAGATTATAAACTTTCTCCATAACTTCAGTATTTGGATTCACCCTGAAATTGTTTTTAATCAAACTGATTCCTTTAATCAAATTGAGTCAAACTACTTATTTACCAAGGAAGGATTAAACATCAAAAACTACAAAAGACATTCCATTTCAAATGCCATTATTTCCAAAACTCTGTTGTGAAAAAGAAATAAGAATCCTGCACTTGATGCAATGATATACACTATTAGTCAAAAGTTTGCTTAAAGCTACACTGCGTAACTTTTTTAGTGTATTCTTAGCTAAAAACACTTAATTCTCTCAAAAATATGTGCTCATTAACGTACATTTACTTTGTTCAAGTAATAAAGTATTGCCATAGAAAATACATACGGGTAAGGGGTTCTAATGTTGGTCGCCATGTTGCCCCTCCATCTTGACAGTAAATTAGTCAAAGAGGGACATAAACGTAAAGGCGAAGCTTGAATTAACGGTTGAGTTAACACTCATGGAGGTCAAACTGGAAGCCATGTTACTCTTGGACTACATTGGCCACCGTAGGAGTTAGAACAAAATCGGAATTGAGAGGAACAGAAACTAATATTCATTTGAATGGTCATATACCTTTAAAAATAACACAGTGTAGCTTTAAGGCCAGTAAAAAAAATAAATAAAACGTTTATTCAGCAAGGATGCATTAAATTTATCAAAAGTGACAGTAAAGACAATAATGTTACAAAAGATTTCTATTTCAAATAAAACCTGTTCTTTTGAACTTTCTATGCATCAAAGAATCCCCCCAAAAAACGTAACATGCTTTCCACAAAAATATTAAGCAGCACAACAGTTTTCAACATTGATAATAATAAATGTTTCTTGTGCACCAAATGAGCATATCAAAATGATTTCTGATGCATCATGCGACACTGAAGACTGGAGTTATAATGCTGAAAATTCTGCTTTGTCGTCACTGGAATAAATTACATTTTAAACTTAAATATTTTTCTTTTAAACTCTGCCTGAAGGCCAGATCATCTCAGTCTTCTCTTCGCCCGTTACAAATGAAAGTGCTGTTTAGAGTGCAGCGTTCAATGAAGCTGCCAGCTGAGGATTGTTTCTCTGAGACTGTGATATACTCCTCATCGCTCTCTGTACTGTTTAATGCCGTTTGCTTTCTTCTCTCAAAAACAGTAATATGTGGTATAGCCGTCCGAGATATGTGCTTCTTTTCAGCATTTATTAAACCAAAATTCTGTACTGCAGTTTTCACACTTTCAAATTCAGCAGCACAACTGGCCTAATAATAAGAAATGTTCTCCAAGTATCAAAATAGTGCATTAGAACGGCTCCTTACATTTCTATGAACTCACGTTTTTAGCAGACTGGAGTAATGGCTGCTGAGAATGGAACTTTGCAAATCACACGTAACATCAGATTTTGAAATAAAAAAAATTGTTGCAAACAGTAATTAAAAAAATTGGGGCTTAGACATATTAAAACGTTATTTTCTGCGATTAATCTTTGCTATTTAAACATTAAAAATAATTAAAGCAGCATGAGTTTTTACCCTACACCCTCTTGCTAGTGTTATTTATAAATGATAAATAAAAGCAGTCTGATAAGTTGCAGTAAAGGCATGTCTTTCAAATATACTATAATATTTACAGGCTGTAATTATTCACTGTATCCTCAGAAATTGTATCAGTACTGGTATCACTGGCCATTAAACAAATATTTAAAATACTGCATGTGGTTTCTATATTAATATGGAGATTCAATGCAAAAAAATATATATATTTATGATAAATTTGAATGTAAGGCGCTATTAAAAATCGCAATAAATTACAGAAAACTGTGATTAATTAGGTTTTTTGGCAGCCCTATGAATAATCATGAATAATAATAATATCAACATGTTTTTTTAATAATTAGAAAGCTGCATTGGTGAACAGACTTCTGGCCAAACTTCTAGCTAACTTCCCCACACTTGAACAACGTTGTCGCTTTAATCCCGCTTCATCTAGCGCTCAGCATGGAAGCAGATGTCCATCAATAATGGGCCGACTCTAATAGTGTACAACTGAATGATTGATGAAAGTCTAACTGGGTTTGTGATGTGCAGCATCAGTGAGATGCTTTAGGTAAGCACTACAAATGACAGACTAGGCCGTGTGACAAGTGCAGATAAGAAAGAGACAGATGGTGTTAAAAAAAAGAACTGGTGCCCAGTCAGTCTTCAGCCAGATGGCTCCTTTAGAGTAGTAATAACACACCCAGCAGTGCCTCTCTCCTCCAGTAGGGGGCACAGTGGAATCTGCACCTCTCAGTTTGGAGTTTCACCAACCCTGCTTGAACACACCTGCCTGTACATTTTGTGTAAACCTGAAGACCATGATTAGCTGGTTCAGGTGTGTCTGGTGCTGTATGATACTAAACGGATAGTTCAGTATCATACAAAAAAAAAAAAAAAAAAAAAAAAGGAAACCTGTGAGGTTTCTCTTCCTCCATTGAGAGTTCAGGTAACCAAAATTTAATAAAGGTGTAAAATTTAATACATTTAATAAATTCACTCTTGTGTAATGGAAATCAATCATACATAGAGTACATCACATATGGTAAACAGGGACGCTAGTTGATTCTTGAACAAACCTTATTAATTCTTGTGCAATATTTACCATATGTATGTGCCGATTATTGTTTAGATGTGAAAAAAAGAGCCAAAATGAAATCTGTTCATCAAATAGATCATATCTTTTCACAAAACTTGGATTTAACTGCACCATTAAAACCTTTTTGGATCTTCTAAATTTTGATGA